GTATGTTTCAGCAGCACATAAGTATTTATGATATAAGCATCTAAAAGTTTCAGATAGACATGGAGCTTGTAGGATTTGTTCTGCCTACCTGACACTGACGTCGAAACACAATGCAGGGATGTGCCAGGACATTTTCTGTGAAGAGGCTAATTCAAACCATGCAAAAATGATCATGAGTTTACTAACATTATTTTGCACATCTTAATATAATTGTACTTTCAATAGAACTTTACTTTAAGCAGTAATAACTGGGGTTTCATTACCTTGCAAGACCTATCCCAAACCCAGCAAATCTGTTCAGCTGTTCTGAAAGACAGAATCAAGGGGAGTCATTTGGGGTGTCTCAGTACATTTTATTTTAAAGGTCACTGGATGAATCATGCATTTGCTTCCACCCAGTTCAAGTAAATACCTTGAAGTGTTTGCAAGTGGGATACATTTTTATGAGTGCCAGCTGCATCAGAAGAGTTCATGACCATTTTATCAACACTGTCCTGTAATGCTGACTCAGAATTAGTCAACGATACTGTGAAAATTATATATATTTTCAAAGTATTTGTATATTTATGTTAAATAACTCTAAATAATTTGTCTTAAAACCTAGTAACTGTGAATTTACTGTGTATTTCGTACAATTCTGTATCAATACAGTGCAAGTCAAACAGGAACGCCGGGAATCCAATTCATTTTAACATACTGGTTCATTCATATGATCTGCTTGATCACTTTAACGATCCGCTTCAAACATCACTTCAATTAAGCTAGCAATGTTACGTTAGAATAGTGTGGCGGGAGGACCAAACGACAGACACAGTGGGTGTGGCGTCAGGCCTTGGAGAGGCTTTTATTAACAGAAAATAAACAAAGTGTCCAAAAGAAAAGGGAATCAAGTGTTCAAAATAAACAGGGGATCTGGTGTCCTCGTCGTGCTGCGGGGTTCGTGAAGGGAAGGGCAGTGGTCAGGAAGGAAGGGTCCAGGTAAGGGGCGATGTCCGGCGGCCGCACGCACTCTCCTCTCAGGTCCGAGGCACGAGGGGCAGCGGCTTCTTCCAGCGGCTGCATCCTTCTCGTTGCCCACGGCACGCGAAGGGACTAGACGGCCCGGCATCCTGGCAACCTAGACGCTGCGGCTCTCGTCCGGACCACGGGTCCGGCAGCTCACGACTCTGGCGGCACAGGAGTCCCTCTACGCACCCTTCCTGGACCCACAAGGACACCAGCGTGCATGCACGGGGAAGAGACCGGTCTCACAAGGAGAGGCGCGCTCGGCATTTAAACAGCGGCGGTGATGAGGTTCCACTCGGTTCAGGTGTGCCCCATCACACGCCGCCAGCCCTGGCTATTTCAGCGCCCCTCCTCAAAAGTGATTAAGGGACGGGGTGATGCTGATAATTAGGGGGAGGTAGCCGACTCGTCACAATAGTTAGAAATGATATGTTTAGAAATTATAGATATTTGCTTTACATGATATTTGCTTTACAAAACTGTAATTTTTCACACACACAAAAAGATCTTGTTGCAACATCTTGCAAAAATCAAGATTGAATATATTTGGTCAAAATCCCATGTTATAAAAGATTAAGTGCTATGCAGGGTATTTAAGACAATATTGGCTGATTAGATGGCAACGCTGACCTAAAATGCAAAATGTTTGCCCTCTCTCTCTTCACCATTCCCACATCTCAGACCTCAAATACATAAAATATTACCCTTTTTAGACACAGTTTTTGGAATAAAGAGTACTTATTGAAACAACCAGGGGCCAGTTGCATAAACTTAGCCACCATGTTAAGACTGTGTCTTAAGAACTATAGTAGTCAACATTTGAAGTGGATCGAAAAAGTTCATCAAAGTTGTCCTAAGACAAGAACGCATTTTGGTTTTATGTTTAAAGGATTAGTTCACTTCTGAATTAAAATTTCCTCAATTTTCTCAACCCCATGTCATCCAAGATGTTCATGTCTTTCTTTCTTCAGTCGAAAAGAAATTAAGGTTTTTGAGGAAAACATTCCAGGGTTTTTCTCTATATAGTGGACTTCAGCGGGGTTCACTGGGTGGAAGGTCCAAATTGCAGTTTCAGTGCAGCTTCAAAGCATTCTACACAATCCCAGACAAGGAATAAGGGTCTTATTTAGCGAAACGATCTGTCATTTTCTAAACCAATTTACAATTTATATACTTTTTAACCTCAAACGCTCATCTTGTCTAATTCTGCATGAACTCTGTGCATTCCGGTTCATGACAGTTAGGGTATATCGAAAAACTCCCATCTCATTTTCTCCTTCAAAATCGTCCTACATCGCTGTTTTACCGGTTTTTGTAAAGGGCATTTGACCTTCTTTGCACGTTCACTTTGTAAACACTGGGTCGGTAATTCTGCAGCGATGTAGGACGATTTTGAAGGAGAAAATGAGATGGGAGTTTTTCGACCTACCCTAACTGTTTCGAATGGGACTGCACAGAGTACGCATACGCATTGCAGAGCTACACAAGACAAGCATTTGAGGTTAAAAAGTATATAATTTTTATTCTTTTTTTAGAAAATGACCGATCGTTTCGCTAGATAAGACCCTTATTCCTTGTCTGGGATCGTGTAGAACACTTTGAAGCTGCACTGAAGCTGCAATTTGGACCTTCCACCCAGTGAACCCCACTGAAGTCCACTATATAGAGAAAAACCCTGGAATGTTTTCCTCAAAAACCTTAATTTCTTTTCGACTGAAGAAAGAAAGTCATGAACATCTTGGATGACATGGGGGTGAGTAAATTGAACTAGAAGTGAACATCCTTTAAGGACAACTTCGTCGAAAGGTTTTGATCCACTTCAAAAGTTGACTACTGTCAACTTAGCAGCTGCCAAGAGTTCAAATACAAATAAGATCTACCTTTTCATAACTGAATTTAAAAAAGTTAAGAACAATCTTGAAGAATTTTTTTTTTATTACTTTAAGACTAGTCCAGTGCTTCCTCTAGGATTTTTTTCCAGCTGTGGTGGCAGGACTATTTCCCATGGACCACGCCCCCTCCCCACCTAAGAATCACGTGCACCCAGAATTTAAATTATTTTAACTAAAAAAGACAAGTACATAGTAACTAATAAAATTAGTACAAATAAATTAATGACAATCAATAGCACAAACAAAAACAATAAGACTCTAAAATAACACTGGATAGTATTCACTGCATGAATAGACAGTAATGACAGACAGCAGCAGGCTTATTTAGGCTGCTGTCTCTTTAAGACCTCATGCACGGATCGAATATGCTGCTACACAGGGCGCTACGCTTACTTTTCTTTTTAGGAGCACTTGTCCTCCTAATTAAAAAAATGTAGGAGCACCTTCTGATCAATAATCAAAAATTCTGATAAAAAAATTTGCCTTCCTAATACAAGGTGATATTTGACTCCTAAAAGTGATTTACAGGGGCATTTTCTTTTTACCTTTGTAATGGCATTTTTCTAATTTTATTAAAAGTGTGTTATCTTCTATGTCAAATTCAAAAAAATATATTTATAAGCTTTTTAAAATTTCTAATTAAAACTAGGGCTGTCGCGATTCGTCGATTCTATTCGACTATTCGATAAAAAAAAATCCTCTAATTCATTTTGGCATAACCGGCAAAATACGCATTTGCACGCACAAATGGCACATTTCATGGACGAGAATCCATAAAACACATTATTAGACTGTTTTCCAAGGCTACATTATATATTAAACCCCTTTAAAAACCATAATTAAGCATAACTGTGAATTCACAAACGCTACGATTTAATTAAATAATTATATGTGATGCAGTTATAGGCGTGTAGGTTACGTACGTGCGTCTCACAGCGGCTCCGTTCACATTAAATGCTGTTCCACAGGAACTGTCATCATTTACATGTTTGGAGCGTCTCAAACTCCATATGTGCATGCTATTGTGAGTTTGGGTTTATTATAACATTTATAATAAATTTCATCAGATTTGTAAGTTAAATCATTTATAAATCCACGCAAACACAGGAGAATACGTCATTATCTCGTGGTTTAAAAAAAAAGCTTAAAACCTCACTCTGAGTTTACACGTTTTGATGTCCACATATTCATTAAATTACAATGGCTATAGCATTTATGTCGTAAAGAAATGGCCAAATATTTAAGATTGTGGACATTTGAATTAAATGATGCTTGGTCAATATTAAACAAGTATTAGATTGCACAGTAATGTGTAAAAACAATCGTCAGGCCGTTTGCGCCCCCTGCAGGCCTTTGTTGTAATGCGTACATTAGCTCTATTCACTGATTTATAATAGAGATTATATTATATTATTGTATAATTATATATAGATCAGTGGCTCTATTACATTATAATACAGTATTTTAACAGTTTTGTTCAATAAAACCATATGATTTCTTGCTTTTAATGCTTTATTTGAACTAATAATTCTTGCCTCATTGCTATTATATATTTATTTTAAGCAAATTTAAAGGCTATTGTTCACTTAGCCTACATCTATTTTTATTACAACAAATGTATTATTGTGGTATACATATTACATATATACAAATTATACACATTTATTATTAGTAGACCAGAACACGTGGACATGTTGTCATTCTTACACTATAATACGGAACTTTGATTTCAGTGATTTGGTCTATGAGATGGACACTTGCTTCTTGCACTCTATGTTGCACTTTACTTTTGCTTTAAAAAGGGATTTCATAGAAATGTGGATGTCATTTGGAGTTTCACTACTGAAGTCCTCTATTCATTTTTTTCATCATGCTGGAGATGTGTTGTTTACACATTTCTAAGAGTACTTTTAATACTTACAATTTTTAATAATAATAACTTTTAATAATAACATTTTAATACTTGATTCTAGTGGACTCTAAACATTGCATTTATTTCATGTGAAAACCCAACTTTTGGGGTTAATTGAAACGGATTACGTTTCCCTTTGTAGTTGCACTCACAGCTGTAACACACAGAAGCCCAGAACATGTGGATATATTGACATTAAGAACATGCTGACTTTCTCAGACTTTTGTAATTATTTTCTTTTTATTAGGTTTGTTTACATTTTTTACTCTTTTAGTTTTACATTTAGTCAATGGCTTGTTTAAATTTATACTTTTTTATGGTACACTACTGAATGGCAAAGTTGCAAGTTTAATAAAATGTTCTTTAAAATTGTAGATTTTTTTTGTGGGAAATTAATCGTTTAATCGATTAATTAGTCAATAGATTAATCGAAATCAAAATAGTCGTTAGTGGCAACCCTAATTAAAACAATATAATAAGTACAATAAGACAAATAA